AGGCCGAGAGACACTGGCATGTGCCCCCTCCCATCACTGTGTTACATGGTGACACACCCCCATGGCGCTGGCACACCCGTGCACTCACCACGGGGACCCTGTGAGACACACGTGCGCTCACTGTTGTGACACAAGGGAGAGACACGGCCATGACACACACTCCCCATTATTACACTGTGAGGCAGTGTCATTACATCAGCAGGCCGAGAGACACTGGCATGTGCCCCCTCCCATCACTGTGTTACATGGTGACACACCCCCATGGCGCTGGCACACCCGTGCACTCACCACGGGGACCCTGTGAGACACACGTGCGCTCACTGTTGTGACACAAGGGAGAGACACGGCCATGACACACACTCCCCATTATTACACTGTGAGGCAGTGTCATTACATCAGCAGCTGTGAATGCGCGACATCCTCAGACATGCCCCCCGGCGCAGCCTGGCTGGAGCCTTTGCCACTCTGGACAGGATGGCAGGGGGTGGCCGGTCGCTCCCCCGCGCAGACCCGCCGGCTGGGGAGACACTCGCGCTTAGCGTAGGCCTGTCTTCCAGTCGGGGTTGTCACTGTAGTTCGTGAGGTCTGAGTTCCTCGCTCTGGGTGCCACAGACCTGCCCAGGGAGCAGAAGCATCTGATCAAAACTGCATGTTTAAGACTGTAAAATTGGAAATCAAGAGCTAAATATAGCACATCTGGAGAGTTCTCCGCAAACATCCACTCCATGTGCAGCAGCTGGCAAAAGAGCAAACAACGTTGGGAATCATTCAAAAGGGGATAGAGAATAGGACAGAATATCTCCTTGCCTCTGTATAAATCCATGGTAGCCCACATCTGGGAAAGGTTCAGAAAAGGGCAACAGAAATGATGAAGGGTTTGGAACGGCTGCCATTTGAGGGGAGATTAAAAAGACTGGGACTTTTCAGCTCAGAAAAGAGGAGGCTAGGGGGGGAGAGGACAGAGGTCTAATAAAATCATGACCGGTGTGGAGAGAGACACTAAGGACAAGTTATTTACTTGTTCCCATAAGAACTAGAGGTCAACCATTGATATGAATAGGTAGCATGTTTAAAGCAAACAAAAGGAAGTTTTTCTTCATGCAGCACACAACCTGTGGAACTCCTCGCCAGAGGAGGTTGTGAAGACCAGGACTTGAACAGGGTTCAAAAAAGAGCTAGATAAATTCATGGAGGTTAGGTCCCTCAATGGCTATTAGCCAGGCTGGATAGGAATGGTGTCCTTAACCTGTTTGAGAGGCTGGAAATGGGTGTCAGGGGAGGGATCACTGGATTATTCCCTGTTCTGTTCCCTCCCCCGGGGCACCTGGGGCCACTGGGCAGACAGGACACTGGTCTGGATGGGTCATTGGTCTGACTCAGCCTGGCTGTGTACGTATGTTCCCATGGCACGTGGCCACTCCACCCAGGTCTCCCCGGCCAGGCGCTGGGTGCTCTCAGCACGCTGGGAAAGAGCTGTGCTCCTAGAGTGTCGTGGGGGCGGCACAGAGCAGGGGCCTCCCAGGTTCTCTCTCTAAGTGGCTAGCTTTGCGCTGCAACCGCTTCATCTTCTTGTGCTGCAGATGAGCCAGAACGTCCAGGTGATCCCTGCGGTGTCTCCGCTGAGGAAGAAGCGGCTGGACTTCGAGGACCCCCCTGACTCGGAGGCCCCGAAGCCCAAGCGCCCCCGGTTGAGTCCGGTGTCAGGGCTCACGCCATGCCTGCAGCCCCTCGCCCGGACCCCGTGTGCTGCGGACCAGGACTCCACAGTCCTGCAGATTGGCCCGTACATCCTTCTGGAGCCCCAGGACGGGGTCCGCTCCTACAGGGCGGTGCACAGGCCCACGGAGACGGAGTACAGCTGCAAGGTACAGTGGGGTGATGGGGCCTGGCCTTGCTCCCCCGGAGCAGGACATCGGAGCCTGACGCTACGGAGAGTACGGGCCGGGGGGCAGGCTGTGGGATCCGGGTCGTTTTGGGGGAATGCTGCTGAGAGCCCCCCGGGGACTCCTGCACAGCAGTTTGCCCTGCACCGGCCTCCCGGGCAACAGCCCGTTTTGACTGGCAAAGGGGGCTAGTGGCCCTCGGGGGCCCCACGGGCTCTGGCTGCAGAGAATGGCATTGGCAAGGAGGCGGCCACAGCTGTCCCTTCCCCCCCCCCCAGTATCAGCTCCACCTTCCAACCTGTGGG